CCTGTTACTTTTTGGTCCTGTTGGGATCTGCCTCAGCACTGCTAAACCTCTTCTTAGCCTCCTGTCCTTGGCATAAGTCTTACCATGTTTCTGGTCTGCCCTCCACAGAAACTTAAAGCAGGAGTCACACCAGTGACTTACACCGTAAAGCTGTTCTATCTAAGGTCTTCTGATTATTGTTTTTTTTTTCTGGCAGACATACATAGATCTTGCTGCCTTGGCGACACAGGGAGCCTGACTTGTGAAAAGAATAAAATTTTGAATATCGTGACTTTGATTAATAACAGAGGCCATGGTTTCCAGGTGACCATAACTTGCATCGCATACATTAAAACTCATACTAGTCATCAAGTTTATACATTCATCGAGCACATTCTCTACAATGGATGCTAAGCAAACAATAACTTTATAAGGGCAATAGTTTTATGTACTTATACAACTCATTGTAAACAAAATTGATTTGTTTAAGTATTATGTAGTTATGCTCGAGGTATGAAGTTTAAACCAAGCAATTACCAATTACACACGTACTTAAACAAAAATCTTAAACAAATATACAGTTTGTCACTGTATTAAAAACCCTTATGGAAATGCATATCCCATTGCATATCATTAATTGATTGTACAATAATATTTAAACAAATAAATTATTTTTTAAATGACACTAATTGAAAATGGTAATCATTTACATCCATTATGATGACACCGATTTCAAACATGTTTATATTAACTTATTCGATCTTTACATAAATTTATATTATCACAGCCCAATGTTTGTAGTGAAAGTTTTGACAATATTATTGCTCATTTCTAAACTGATCACCATCTTATAAATGCATGAAGATGGCCAAAACCGTAATTCTGACTTTAGAGGATGTATCTCGAGAATTTAAAAGAAGCACATCGTTAACCGAAACAAAAATTATGTTGTAAGTGAAACTATGCATAGTCTTTCGGATGCAAATTAATTCAGTATGGTTAACAACGTCCTTCGATACAAAATCTGACAAAAAACATGTAAAAATTTACATTTTTTATCAACATGCCGTTAAGGTATAGAACCTCTAGTCCGGACCTGGTCACAAGAAAAAACATTTGTGTTGTTTTCGGACCGAGCCCGAATAAACGGAGAACTATGAACTCATTTGGAGTGGCCTAAATGTAAAAAGACTGGAACTTTTAAGCCCTGTTCATATTAATACCACTAACTTGACAATAGACTGATCGTTAAAGTTGGCAAGATAAACTCATGCATTTATTCTTTTGATTCTTTCCGTATCTAATTAGTGCATTTCATGTCAGTTTTAGTACCGAAAGGGAACGGTTTTGATGTTAACAGACGAAAGCATGCCAAGATTTATCCAACGATTATTATTAATTAGGAAAATACTGTTCAGTTAGATTATACGGCAGTGTCATATAAAGTCGAATAAAAATAGACATGCAGGCAAACTAAACCTTAAAACAAATGCTGTACATCCGAGACTGGGTGGTGGTGAGGGATATAACCTCCAAAAACAGTTAATATCGCATTTACCATAACCTTTAATTTACTTCAAGTAATAAGGAAAAGATCACTCAAGTTTGACAACGATTTATTATTGATTTCTTGATTGTTGTGATTATATTCGGAAGATATCAGTATATTGTAGGATTAAATGTTATTGTAGTTTTCGTTTTTAAAATCAAATGCGTAAAGTAAAGTTAAAATGTTGTATACCATAAAATGATTAATTGAAATAATATATTAAAGAGTACTGTGACAGTACTTTTTATGTCCAATTGTAATCCAAAATTCGAATTTTCAGACAACTTGATATTTTAACGTGGAAATAAAGGTTTCAGTCTGACTGGTTTATATTTTCTTACAACTAACCAGTTACATAACATTCGCTACACTTATTAAAAAAAAACCCTGAATAGTTGAATCTGTGTCAACTTCAAATAAATCGCTTTTTATAAGATATAGTGGGGTTCATAGTTTAATTGTATTCTCCAGTTTTTAAATCCATGAATTATGTTCCACTAGAGGTTAAGCAAACATCAGTTTATACAGAACAGATTTTTTTAAATTCAGTGGATTAATTAAGATTTACTTCTGAAATTGTATTTCTTTTCTTTTTGCTTTTTTTCTTTTTTTATGTTTACCTTTTTTGTCTCACGAACATTTCATTGTTTAAAAATATTTCTAAAATGGGCCTTTTATTGTGCAGAAAATGATAAAGCGTTTTCGTGGTGTTCTCGCTTTCGGTAAATAAGAACATAACAAATTCCCAACAGAATCACAGTTGATTCGAATATCTCGTCAAAATTCTAGATTTGTCTGAATATCTTTGAACATAACAGTAAATCACTACCAGACAAATATACAATAAAACCATTATGAGAACTGAGAGACTTAGATGTTTTCCTGAAATTAATTACTTAGATGTTGTACTTAAAGACTCGCCAAGTAGAAATATATTTAACCTTAAATAAATCTAATAAGTCACCATTCAGATAAGAATCCAAAAATGAATAATAAAAAATCGTACTCTTTATATATTTAGTGTGTCCGGGGCGCTTTTCTGATTTACACCAGGAACCACGTAACGATCTCCTTACGGTGTTGAGTATGACATCTTTCTCGTAACTCTGCTCCAAAACTCTGTTTTGTTGGTAGCTGTTACTTAAATAACGTATGTCGCACATTACCTATTATACAGTATGATCACTCAAATGAACAGAATTGAGCACCTGAGATGAACCCGGCTGTCTGTTGGGGTTAGTGTTGCTCAGTCTTTAATGCTCTATGTAGTGTTCTGTGAACTTGCATGTCTTTTCGTCGTCTTTGGGTTTTTTTGTCATGGCGTTGTCAGTTACTTTTCGACTTCTGAATTTCGAATGTCCCATTAGCATCTTCCTCAATTCAAAAGTTCTTTTCATGATATACATCGTTCCCCTTTTTATTGGCGTATTTTCAAAATTACATATTTTTACGTGGTCACTGTGTATTTTCTTATTTCTAATACCAGACTACCACTATCAATTGAATTCACTTGTTCCGTCTTTGGAAATTTGACCAAGTTTAAATGACGGAATCTAAACTAGTATTCACTAATCATAAACATACATATCTTCAACTATGAACCTTTTTATTTTCTACGGCGGTGTTAAGTTCTTGTTGACGATCAAAATATCATAGTGATGGAGCTGTAAGAGATACCCGCATAATAACTCCGCCATATTTTGAAGGAAAAAAAGGTCAACATATTTTTTCCCTTTACAGTAGTCCGACAGATACCTATCTGTTACTCTTCCGGGACACCTGAGTTCACCGTCAGATTTTTGTGGGGTTAGTTTTTTCTGTTTGGTCATGGTTTTATCTGTTTTTCTTCAACTTAAAATATTTCATTGACTCTTTGGTTTCCTCGTCCTCTTTTTTTGTAAAACCTTTTCGTCTGTGTTCTTTCAGCGTGAAGAAAAATCTGCATCTATCAGATGATATAAGCTAGATTTAAAATTGCATATTTTTCCGTGTAATTGCAGATTCCCTTCTGTATATGAATTTTTTTTAGAATGAGAAAAAGAATCTTCCAAATATGAAATTCTATAAAAAAAAGTTGATGCGACTCTTTAATCTCATTTGTTAAAAGTATGTCATAGTTCTATAGTAAATTTATACAGATCTTTTTATTGTGATTTTAGCTGAAATAATTATATTTTTTCATTTTATTGTGATTTTAGCTAAAATAATTTATTTTTTCAGTTAAACTTTAACGATTTCAATGGACATATAAATACAATGGTCTGAATCAATCAAACAGCATTTACATTTGAAATAGTAATGTAATAATAGAATTTGAAAATTTAATCCGTTTAAAATACAATCAATTAACAATAAAAATATCTCACAGCTTTCAATCTAATTATATTTGTACACTTTCATATATTTTTTTTCTTCCATAAAACAATTTTACATTAAGGATAAATTACTTTTTGTATTTATAAAACTCAGCGATTCATTTCACAAGAAATCTTACACGAGTAAAAACACTCGTGTAATTAATGAACATTTCAGTATAACTTACGATCAATTTTAGTTGTAAGATGTTTTGCGAAAAGCTTGTTTATGTGATGTAAACTTTCACAAAATTGGCTATTTTACAGTCTATTTGTGTCTGAAGACTCGTTACGCATTCGTACGCCATGCATTTCCAAATATCGATAGATGCATACTACTAGAACGACATGAATTCACATCTAGATGTCTATATGACAAATATGCCCCCGTCTGTAGCCTAATTGCGATAAGTCGGTCGTCAAAAACGAAACCCTTACTCTATCTGCAAGTCATGATTTTACGCTTATTTACTAAACATCAGCTCCAGACCTGAAGGCATTGCAAAAATAGTTTGGACAGGTAGAAATTTCTCGAATTACAAACCAAAAGCCATAATTCAGCACAAATGCAGACAATCGATACGAAACGCATCCTCGATCTTCATGTGGCCATTACACACTAATGAACCAAAAACAGAATCTTATCTGCAAGCAAAACAAAAAAAAACCAATGTTTGATTTCAGAAGGACGGAATGACATCCAATGGTAAGATTGCATGTGATCGACCACTTATTGGCGGGGGCGTAAAAAATACCTGGTCCGAGATTTGATCCAATTAATGATTTTTTTCCTTTCCATTCTTCGTATCATTCCCAGGGATAACCTTAGCTGTATTTGGCAAAACCGTTCGAAATTTTGGGTCCTCAATGCTCTTCAACTTCGTACTTGATTTGGCCTTTAAACTTTTTTTATTCGAGCACACTGTTGAGTCTGTTTTGTGGACGAAACGCGTAGTATGACGTACACAATTATTTTCCCAGTAATGTATCCATTAGATAACAGACTTGCTCTCAAATAATGATGTAAACGTTTCGTGACTACAAAAGAGTTTCGCATTTATAAATATAGCATTAAATCGATATATGACACTGAAAATGGTTAAACTAAATGTTAATGGAATAAAAACAATAAAATGAAGAAAAAAAATATGTATTAACTAAAGGTAAAAAAACTTGGGTCCAAGTCATTTATCAGGACTAAACGACATATATAGGAGAGGTAAGCAGCTAAGTAATAATGGTACATGTATAAACGATTTTTTGGGGTCTTTATAACAAGAAAAGAACCGTATAAAGTAAATATATGAATTTTATGTATCTGAAGCTTATCTTTCGACACATTGTAATTCAAATAATTATATCTTACACAACCTCCCTTTCTCCCGAGAAATAAGTCAAATGATTTCCACTTAACATGATTATCCTTAATTGATATCAATTTGTCACATTAGACATCTATATGTCACAATGCGGTCTTACAACTGAGATGGACAATCAACAAAAGCAACGTATTGCAAGATCTAAATTGTCGCGGGCTAATACAAGGTGTAGATTATCAGAGACAAAAATTAACATCAACACCAGATCCCTTAAATGGTCAAAAAGGAGGCAGCAATAACTACTGAAGATATTCAAAACTGTGGCAAAATTTCGACCATATATTGGTATTAAAAATAGTAAATGGTGGTAATAATTTCAGGCAATGAAATAAGAGGCTAAACAGTTGAAAACACGCGCACATAATAGATACAATTAAACAAAAAGCCGTTTAAATTTCAATAAAAAGTGAAATAACAAAAAAAGAAAACGAACTCCAAGGAAAATTCAGAACGGAAAGTCATTTATCAAGTGGCAAAATGAAACGCTCAAACACTTCAAACGAATGGAAAACAACTGTCATATTCCTGACTTGGTACACACATTTCCTTGTGTAGAAAATGGTGGATTAAACCTGGTTTTATAGCTAGCTAAACCTCTCACTTGTGTGACAGTCGCACAGAATTCCATTGTATTGACAACAATGTATGAGCAAAAATGTTAAACCTCTGGTGGTTTGTTTGGGTTGTAGGAGGAAAGCATATATAGTGGACATAAATACAGGTACAACAAAATCGCATGATATTAATTTCCGTGCGTAGGAAAAATATTTGAAAGTTAAGTATAATCATCAGTAAGCGTTCGGACATGTACCCCTAATGTGCGTTGTTCTGATTTTGAAAAAAAAACAAAGGCGTAAAAAAATCGAACGGAAACCTGAGATTGAAAACAACTGGTGAATAACACCATGTAACCGTAATTGATGATAGTATTATATAATTATCCTTGAACTGGATAAGTATTTCTTAATCAGAGCCAACTTAATTCAATCATACAAAATTAGTATTATGTTATCACGGGAAGATCTTTCCATTAAGACAATCGATTTGCAATATTGTATTCTAGAGGACTGTTGAATGTAATGTCACAAAATGGAAAATTGACTATCTTGTTTGGTTGACAAGACATGCTTTTTATAAATCTTCTATGTGATAACTTAAATTTCTTTCTCAATTTCTCTAAATATTCTAAATAAATGTTGAATAACTTCAAATGTATTCAATATTGGCGGAACAGTACAGACAAAAATTACGAAAGTTGATTATTATATCAAAACGGGATAACATAAAATGTCAGAATGATATGATTTAAAATCAACTCAAATCGAAATCTTTTTTTAGATACATAACTTCAGAAACATATATTAAATAAATCTAAAATTAACATCAATAGTTGTCATTTTCTAGATTTGGATGTTTCAATTTCACGCTGGAAAAATAAACCCCAAAAATTACAACAAGAGAAGATTTTCCGTTCCCTGTTGGGAATTTTTCATTTTTTGACCGGCATTTCCACAATAAATTACTTAAACCTTTAACTAGATTCTTTCATATCTTCAAATGTTTAGCTCTGTACCTGTAGAATCCTTATAAAACGTGAAATCACATCCATTCCTTTACTGTAATGTTGTTTATAAAACCCCTAAATTTAGATACTATCCATGCAAACTCAATGATCCCTTTGAATGGACTTATTCTTAAAAAGATATCAATTATATACCGTATTAAATTGATATTGTTTCATCGGTTACAGTTCTTACGTTGATTTTGTTTAAGGTGATTAAAGCCATAGTAAATACGTATTGCTATACATTAATATAAAACCAGTTTCAATACACCATTTTCTATACAAGGAAATGCCTGTACCAAGTCAGGAATATCACAGTTGTTTTCCATTCGTTTGATGTGTTTGAGCTTTTGATTTTGACATTTGATCAAGGATTTTGCGTTTTGAATTTTCCTTGGAGTTCGGTATTTTTGTTATTTTACTTGTTAACGAAAACTTATGGTCTGATATTCTGTCGATTTTGGTGTACTTTAGTCTGGGAGATCATGATGTATTCATAAGTTATTATTGTCGTTGAGCTAGCGTCCTGTTACTGCGAGAACTGTTAGATTGGTACTTTTGTCTTTTTTTAGTTGCATTTTATGCTTCGTGCCAATCTGATTAGTCAGGCAATTTTCGACTATTTTACAGTCTGTTATTAGGTTGTGCTTTAACACCACTGTCCTAGGTTGAGTGATCACAAGCATGTTTAACTCCGCCACATTCAATATATTCCTGTACCAAGTCAAGAGCCTATAATTCAGTGATTGTTGTTGGTTACTATCTGTCAAATTTTTTTTATTATTTTGTCATTAATCTGCCGTTGGTTTTTCGTTTGATTTGTTTCACATTGTGTTATGTCTGGCCTTTTACAGTTGACTAAACTGTATGGGATTTGCTAATAGTTGAATGCCGTACGGTGTCTCATAATTGCTTGAATCCACGTGATTTGTTGTGTCATAAGCAATCGTATCACATCTCCTTGTTTTGTATTAAATTATAAGGAGGAACTGTATAGGCATGAGCTGCAGTTTAATGTAGAAATTAATATTTTGTAAACTGCTCCAAATGTGTCCCTAATATAGATTTCGAAAATGAGACGGTATATCTGCTGTTTGATCGTATCAAAAAGAATAATTTTGTTATTATACACATGAACTTTCTTGCATTTATGGATAACTTTTGTTTAAAAATCAAAAACGTTTTTGTAATTGATAGATTTCCCCTCTTTGTACTACTATATTGTTCTATTGCATGGTAGATAATTCCATACCTCGTAACCATGCCAATTAGTGAATATGACAACCCTAATGAGATCGACATAATGAAAATCAGTCACTTGCTTTTAATTGTTTACGACATTAATCCATTTGTCGACCTTGTAAATTCCACATTGGAAATCGTTATTATTTTCCATATTTTACATATTAAGAGCTATCATGTGAAGTAGGCAGCGTGCTTAATTAGATACACTAGAACGCATTAATTGTATTGGCCGTCCTAGTTTATTAATATAAGTGTTGCATAATGTATACTGTAACAAATTGTTGCAGCTAATTACTTGAGTACATTAATCTAATGGAACAAAATACTACAGTATCATGCTATCTCTAGTCAGTTTTTTTTATCATATGAAAACGATTACCTTTGTTTTCAAGGATAAAACATTCCATCGAGGTAATTGATCAATTGTAGGTTTGTAAGTAAAAGCACTCTGGTTAAGCATACATACCTGTATTCAAGTACATTTATTAAAAAAGAAGATGTTGACATATTAAATAATCTGTTATTGTCTCGCCTTGACGGAGCCAAAAGGCGAGACATAAGTATGCTGTTTTTGCCTTTGGCGGAGGCGGCGTCGTCAACGATGTATTAGTTTGTGATTAGGTCAAGTTTATGGAGAACCACTAGTGGTCAATGATATTTGGTATGCAGTTCTATAAACATTGGTATATCTAATTTCCATGCAGATTATTTGGCCCCGCCCTCTTAGTCATGGTCTATTGTCTTTTACTTAGTTTACATGTATAAGTTTGTGATTAGGTCAGTTTATGTAGAACCACTAGTGGCATACTAGTGGCATATTAATGATATTTGGTTTGCAGTTGTATTAACATTAGCACATCTCATTTCCGTGGAGATTATTTGGCCCCGCCCCCTCTGTCAGGGTCTATTGACTTTTGAAACTCTTGCTTAGTTTACATGTATTAGTTTGTGATTAGGTCAGTTTATAGGGAACCACTAGTGGTCAGTCAGTGCTATTTGGTATGCAGTTGTATTAGCATTGGCACATCTCATTTCCATGAATATTAATTGTCCCTGTTCCTCTGTCATAGTCTATTGACTTTGAAACGTTTGCTTAGTTAACAGAAAAGCGCTTTGGACGCATAAATTTTATAACTTGTTTTCATTTTTAGCTCACCTGGCCCAAAGGGCCAAGTGAGCTTTTCTCATGACTTGGCGTCCGTCGTCCGTCGTCGTCCGTCCTCGTCGTCCGTTAACTTTTACAAAAATCTTTTCCTCTGAAACTACTAAGCCAAATTTAACCAAACTTGGCAACAATCATCATTAGGGTATCTAGTTTAAAAAATGTGTCCGATGACCCCGCCTGCCAACCAACATGGCAGACATGGCTAAAAATAGAACATAGGGGTAAAATGCAGTTTTTTGCTTATATCTCTGAAACTAAAGCATTTAGAGCAAATCTGACATGGAATAAAAATGTTCATCAGGTTAAGATCTATCTGCCCTGAAATTTTCAGATGAATCAGACAACCCGTTGTTGGATTGCTGCCCCTGAATTGGTAATTTTAAGGCAATTTTGCAGTTTTTGGTTATTATCTTGAATATTATTATAGATAGAGATAAACTGTAAACAGCAATAATGTTCAGCAAAGTAAGATCTACAAATAAGTCAGATGACCAAAATTGTCAGTTGACCCCTTAAGGAGTTATTGTCCTTTATAGTCAATTTTTAACCATTTTTCGTAAATTTTTGTAATCTTTTACAAAAATCTTCTCCTCTGAAACTAGTTTTTTGTTATTATCTTAGATATCAATATAATATCTAATATCTAATACTATTAATTATGATTTTAACCTTATTTTACATGATTTCCAAAGCATCAGTAAATACAGGTGAGCGACACAGGCTCTTGAGAGCCTCTAGTTATTACAGCACTGGGTCGATACCTCTGCTGGTGGACTATCAGTCGCCGAGGCTATCATAAGCTAAGTAGTCAGTAATTTGGTACTGACATCATTTATAATAAACTTTTGTAAAATTTTCCTTTTATA